CCTGGATTTGTAGACTATAAGATAACTTTCAATCTTCGGACTGACTGTAATAAAGTTTCTACTATGACATTATATAAATAAATAAATAAAAAAATTAAAAAATTAAAAAATTATATTTAAAAATTTTATAAGTTTATTTCTGTGCATTATTGCATGGGTTTGCAACTAGTACTTCTAACAAAAAAATATAATCAAAGAAGCTACCTTAACATTAAAATATATATATATATATATATATATATTTTGCTTTGATAATCTCGTATTAATTTATTAGAATATTATAATTTTTTAACAAAAAATTAATCTATCTAAATACATATTAGGCAAAATCTAGCTGCTATAAAAGTGCCCAAGAATGGTTATCACACTAATGTTTGCCAACAGATCCCACATGCAGTAATACTCGCATTTTAAAACCTGCTATAGCATGGTACTTAGCTACCTTATTTTTTATTATTTCCAACTTTACTTTGACCACTATCTCACTAGAAAAGAACTCGAGATTTGTAACTTTATTGTTTTCATTGCTAAATTATAAACTTTAACTATTTTTTCCCAAACATAACCAAAGTATTCTTCGATTTTCTGACTTTCAATAATTTAGCTCTCTCTTCATTCTCTTTCCATCTCTTGCTCAGATAACTTGTTGATGCAACTTCATTATCTAATAAGGAGTTTTCTGAGCTTCTATATCTTTTTCCTTTATTTAACATCACGACTTCTTTTTTTGACACTTTTGCCTGCCTTTTTTGCTGCTTTTTTGAGCAATTTTCTACTGCATTAGAATTTCTTGTCAGTCCTTTATCTTCTGCTACAGAGTTAGCTTCTACTTGGGCAATACTATTGACTCTGGGCCTCTTGATAGCTCTGCTTATACCTGTACTTTCTTCCCATACTGCAAGTTTCTCACATCTTTCTCTCCATATCACTCTATAGAAGCACTCTTATATAACATAAACTAGCACGTCGTAGCATTGTCTACTTGACTTGTGTTTTTTAGTTTATTACTTGCAAACTTGAAAAATCAGCTTGGCAAGCTAGACTGAAAGTGAGAGCTTTTCTTTTTTCTAATCTTTCTTCTTGTGTATTCCCAAAAACCACCTTTCTGATTTCTTCTATAGAATACATAAATCTAGTTTCTTCTTCGAGCATGGCCCACACTATCGCAAGAGCTTGGTTTTCAACCTACTTTCAGACCTCTTAATAAGATTTATAGCTAAAAAGATGATCCATATTTTCTATTTCCTCTTCCTTACACATTATATATATTGGTAAAGTGTATAAATCTGGATTGCGTTGATGGAGTTTGTCTAGTATTGAAAGTATACCAAATAACCCCTTTAACCGGCTTATGAGCTTATTACTATCTTGGAGCGATCTATATCTTTGGCCTCTCAGCTCTCTTAATCTTTTCTAGCAACGTGACCATATGGAGTTACTTTTCTGGTCTAATTGTTATAGTAAATCACACCTTTTGGATAGATACCATTCACTTTCAATAAGCCTTCTTTTTAATCTCAAAATGAACTTTCGAAGTGAATATTCAATACTTCTTTCTTGCTATTTTATATCGAAGCTCCAGCATGATCGCAGGTTGTTTGGCCATTTCCATGTTTCATCCAAGTAAGCACCTTTTGCAATGTTATTTGCTTCTTCATTCCACTTCACTCCACTATGTGCTTTGACCTTTATCAAATCAAGCTCAAGTTCTTTAAACTGGATAGTTTCTACTATTTTGGTGAGTATTGTTCTATTTTTCACTTTTAGCCCCTTGCTAAAATCTTTTTCTTTTAATACCTGTCTTATTGCTGAGATTGCCACTAAGCTATCGGTCTTAACCTGTACACATGCATTTCCTCTTACTGTTAACAGAGCACACAAAATTGTAGCCAACTTGGGTCTTGTTGATAATGGCCAGTCACTTATTCTAACTTTGCCTTTGAAAACTGCTGTTTTTTTATTCTCTGTAACTTGAACCCAACCAGTGTCTATTCTATCTTCCTCATTTTTAATTAGTTTATTTGAAACTCATGAGCTGTCAGTGTAGAAAATACAATTCTGTCTCTTTTGGCTGAAATTAATTTTTAAACCATGTGTTAATGCTGCTTGAATATTGTTTGGAAGATTAAAGTTGTTTATATATTCAAGATCTTTGTCTTTAATTTCATCTAATCTTCCGAATATGTCTTCTGAGATGTCTTTTTCTACAGCAAGAACACTATAAATCTCTAATGGAATTCTGAGACACCATCCCTCTTTGTCTTTGGCAACATAGTCTATTTTTTTTACTACTTGGCTTATATTTAATTTGAAAGTACACCTGTTTTCATTATCTATTTTACTAAGTTTATAGCCACTACATTGTTCTAAACAAACCCCTTTTTTCCTCTGGGTTGACTCGACTCAATGATTATTGAGTCTGTTTCCTTTTTCTAAACGTGGCTGATTTTGAGCTAGTTTGTTCCATCACGATGTAAAACCCAATCTTTTTGTCTTTTATCTGCACTAATACCTGGGAGAACTGGTACTATAGCCTTCAGATTTGTCTCTTGAACTTGAAACAGCTATTTGACTCTATGTTTTTTTTCATTTACAAGCATTAGGTTTTCTATTCCTTTGTATCAGCATGGAACTTTTCCACTACAATGCCAGTTTTTCATTGCTTTTACTTGATACCAAGTTAATAAGTTTTTACTTTTTATGTCCAGTAGTTGATTAATAAAATATAGGCCTAGGTCTGTTTGCCATTTTCTATAACCTTTTCTATCTATTGGGTTAAGCATGCTTGCTATTGATATTCCTGAGCCTAGGATACACCAATCTTTTTTTTTTGTTGTAAACATCAAACCTATTTTTTTGCAATGTTCAACTATGCTTAATGTGATATTATCTCTATAGCTAAAACTTATTATGTTATATATTGGTGAACTTCAGACATCTTGAGTTATGCCTTTTCTGAGTATTCTTTGTCTAATTCTTAGCTTTGTTATCTTCTCTACTATTCCTGTGCTGTTTAGTCTTTTGATTAGTGTTGTGGTCTGTTTTGCTAATACTGCATTAGCGAGCAATTTAACTTCTAATATCCCACTGTGGATTAAAATGCTATTAGATGTAGTTTGCACTATTCCTAATTTTTTTTTTATCAGTTTCAGAAATGGCTGGTAGATTATGTTCAACTCTTTTTCCGTTAATGCTACCATTTGCAGAATATACTCCAGTTTGGAAATTAAAACTTGATTGTTTATATAAACTAATTGGCTAGCCGTAGTTTTCTTTCTTTCTAACTTACATATAAAGAGGCCTACTATTTGTTTCAATTTCTTTTTGATTTTCACTACCTCTTTCCTTATATGTAGAAATGTTCCAAGAAATTTGAGACTATGTAGTTTTTTTTCTGCTTTAACAAGTGCACCACCATAATCTATTTGTCTCTCTGTTGAAGGAAGTTCTGAATTAAGTACGACGAGTTTGGACTTGCTACCATTAATTTCTATGCCATTTAGTTTGAAAAACTGCTCTGCTATCTAAATTATTTGCTCTAATTGAGTTTAGTGTTATCGGCATATGTGAGAACTACCTGCCTTGCATCTTTAAGCTCTTTGATCCCTAATAGGATTTTCATATGCTTTGGCACCCTAACTTTATAACCTAATCTTGCATTTCTTTGTATACGGTTCAACAATGGGTCATAGAATATTCTCTACAAGAGAGATGAAATAGCCTCACTCTAATTAATACCCCTTCAGCTATGATTTCTTGCAACAGACCATATGCTATTATTATTTTTAGTTTTTTATTTACAAAGAGATTGTGAACCAATTTACAGCACAAATCTGGAACCTTGATTCTTTTGAAAGCTTTTTGCAGCATAGTAAGATTTACAAAATTGAAGGCCTTCTTCATATTCTGAAACAAGACCTACATTTCTTGTTTGCTTTCTTCTGCCTCTTTGATAAGAGCTTTTAGTATATGCACTGGTTCCTCTGTCGAGTTTTCTGGTAAACTAGCAAAGTTAGAGCCTTGCAAAATGTTCTTCTCTTTAATGATTTTACTTAATCTTTTAGTTAGAATCTTTGTAACACATTTTCTAAATACTTCTACCAGAGCAATTGGTCTAACTTTATCTAGATTGTATTCCCAATCTTGCCCTTTTGGTATTAGATAAATCTGGGTTATTTTTTATTTACTTGGGATGTTGCCTGAGTGAAAACATAATTCTGTAAAGTTCTTAAACACCAATTGCAATTTGGTATTAGCCTGCTTTAGTAATGCATATGTGATTGTTGAGATTCCAGGCGCTAAGTTCGTATTGCTTTCGCTCAAAATTGGCTGCCACTCTTCTAATATTATCGGTTGGCTTAGTAGGTTATACCAGGCCTTTTGAATTTGCTCTTTCGGTTGGTATTCTTCAAACTATATTCTTTCTAGTTCTATATTGTCCTTCTTCTTGTTTCTTGTTTACAAATTGGTTCTGAAAATGTGTATGAACATCTTCTAACACCTCTACTGGATTATTCGCTAGCTTAGTTGAGTTATGGTTTTGTGTATATACTCCATCTAAAGTAACTTTGTTATATGGCTGTTCTAGTAAGCTAGCTAACATTTTCTTTTGTTCATTTACAATTTGTTCAGCTCTTTTCTGTACATATAGCTGGATTTCTTTTTTCTTAACTTTTTTATAATTCATCACTAGCTTGCCTTCTATTGCTTTCCACCAGGTAGTCGCTTCTTCACACCATGTTGATATTTCTGCTAGTTCGATTTTATCAATATTGCTATCGGCTCATATGTTTATTTGTTTAATCTTCTTGTTCCATATTGGGGCCTTCTTCTGTAGAGTAGATATATCTAATGACTTTGCTTCTCTAATTATTTTACATAGTGAAGATGCTGCTTTAAAAAACCTGGTTTCTTTGTTCTTATATTTTGGCCTTTTTCTAAAGTTTATTACTTTATTTGGCAAATTAATTCGGCCTGCCTGTATAAGTGCTTTTTCTATCACTTCTCACAAATGTTCAAGATTTGTTTCGAGTTGTTCTAAAACCTCCATCTCTATTGGTAAGGTATATCCTTTGAGCATATTGAGCTCTTTACTATTTAATCGCTTTTATAGGTCTTTTTGGTAATCACACTAGTTTTCTTCTGTTGTATTGTCAAGTTTCCAAACTCTTTGCTTCGTGTTAGGTAAGTGATTATCTACCTCTTTCTCCGAGGACATTGCTATGCTTTAAGCAACCTTGGTATAGACCAGATCATAGTCACTTCTTAACTGTTGTCATCTTATATATTTTGGCTTTATATGCTACCTCTATCATTTTTTTTGAAATCCATACTTGGTCTATTCTTGTTGCTACTGAACTATTACTCCAAGTAAATTTTCTTTCGTGCGGATTAAGTAGTCTGTATATATCAACAAACTCTTGTTCTTTAAGCCAATTATATATTCCCAGTCTTTGTTATTATCAATTTGAGATGACTTATCTAATGTAGAATCTACTATATAGTTAAAATCCCCATTACTACTATGAATGTATCTTCTTGAAACTTGACTATTCTTTTTCATATCATAGTCTCTATCTCTTTTGTAGTATCCTTGTCTGCCGAAGGGATATATATTGTAAAAATTATCACCTTGTAATTTTTAAAATATAAAAATACTACCAATAAAAATTTGTTTAGCTTCTCTATTTTGCTTTTCTAGCTTTTCTCTAATAAAAAGCCCTACTCCAAAACCCTTCTTTTTTGTTTTTGAAGCTAAAGACCAAATTCCTCTAAACCTAATATTGTTTTTTGCTATAAACCTTGTCTCAGTTTCTTGCAGATTTGTCTCTGTAATTCCTAACACATTAAAACCATTTTCTTCTTCCCAGTTAAGCAACATTTCTAGTCTATGTCTATATGTATTTAGCCTATTTATATTGTGTATTGCCAACTTTATTTCCATTTGTTTGACCAGTCTTGGATTGAAAGTAGGTACCATCTGTGTCCGAACCTGGCCATTATTCAGAATACCTGTATTTGTTAAGATGCTAGTAGCCCCTTTTAAGAGTGATTGGGGCTGTTGCTCTCACTTTGGCGCTCTTTTAGTAATTCAAGTCTCTTTAAGATTTCATATAGCAAGTCTGTTTGAATATTCTCTTTTCCTTTCCCTTTTTCTTCAGCTTGCTGGGTTTTTGAGTTCTGTCTTCTATTCAGATTGCTTGGAGGCTGTTGTTTCTTGTAGTTGTTGTTGATAAGTTTGCGTTTAGGTCCAAAAACCTTTTTTTTATCTAATAAGTCTGTAGTTATCTTTTTTGGGTTTATATTTTCTTTATCTGTTAGATAGCTAATATTGGCATCACAAGACTTTAAGATACTACTCTTTCTCTAAGTTGTTGATATGGTTTCTTGATTTCCTCATTAACCAAGTCTGCCTATTCTAAAATAATAAACCGTTTGTTTTATTGCTTTTAATTGGTCTTTTTTTGAAGCAAAATACACTGAAGCAGTGTCTCTTTGGTTTCCATTACTATTTGTCAAGATATACACTGCCTTTGTCTTTATATTTTTCAGTTGCCTTAATAGTGCTAATTCTGCTGCTATTTTGGGTAAGTTCTTTACAACTGATTTGAATTTGCTTCTTTCTATAAGTGTTTCTTGGTCTAAGAACTCTGGCGTTATTTTTATCATCTTGCTATTTTCAAAGTGCATTTCTCACGAATTTTGCAATTCATCACTTCTTTTTTGATTTCTAAATGTAACTTCAACTTGCGTGGCCTTTGTCTTGCCATTGATCATGAAATATTTTATTATTGCTCTATTATAAAAACTTAGAGCCTTTCTGATTTGATTTGCCTTAGTTTTATTAGGCAGATCCCATAAAATAAGACATGTTACAACCTTGTGTGGTTTTTCTTTTACTGTTGGAGTAGTTTCGGTAAATTGATTTGAGTGGTTTGTTGCCTCTACTACCTTGATGCTTTGTTCAGTTTTCTCATGTCATATATGCTTGGAAGTGGTCTCATTGGGACTATCTTCCAATCTATCTATACCTCTTTTCAGGCTGTGGTCGTTTGGCATTTCAACTTGAGACTTGGATTTAGTATTGGTTAGTAAATTCTGATCTGGGTTGATTATATTCAGAATTTCTTCTACTTTATAATCGGTAGTACCACATTCTGTCAAAAGAAGTATTTCTTTGATGTGTGACATCTTACTACTTGTTGCTATGGCTTTGTTTTCTTGTAGTTTGGCTAGACAGTGAAAAAGATCCTGTTTGTTTGTTGTTAGGATATTTCCTCTTGTGTCTTTGCATCTCAGCCAGTTGAATATTTTAATTGTTTTTCTAATTATGCTTACTACTTCTATTGAATCCATACCAAACCACATTGCAATTTTTTGATCTTTTATTTCTTTTTCTTGCTTGAGCTCTTGAAATAAAATTCCACTTTTCTGTTTGTTTTTCTTAAACAGGTCTTTGAATTTAATAAGTTCTTCTATTTTAAACATGTGATTTACTTGATATATCGATACATGTGAAGATTGTTGTTTACTTAATACGAGTTACTAGATAGTTACGTTAATTGCTTGTTTTAGCGATGATGTATTACGCGTCAGGTTTGTTGTTGTCACAATTGATCTACGTTACAGGATCAACGCCGATTCCCCAAAATACAGAAATTTTACAGAAATTTTCCAAAGAAATACTAGTTTTGTCTTTAGCTCTGTCTAAACAAAGCTGTTGAAGTTTTGCTACTATGTAACTTATAGTAACTTTTTGTGTTGCTTCTTTTTATTTATATGTCAAAACCTTGCTAACTAGTGTATTTAGCTCTGTACTGTATGTTTTTTTTTAGCTCCAAATTGGTACAAGGATTTACAGAGGAAAGTTCAATATATGGGTTTATCCATTAAAATATATAAATATATATAAAAAGGTTTAATATATTATACAATATACAGTATTATACTAGGAACTGGAAACCAGTATAAGTTTGGAGCATAGGATATAAAATAATATTAAAAACTAATTAATAAATTAAATTATTCTAGTTTGTAGTTGTAAGCATTATACATATATGTATAGATGATCATCATGTATTCAACCAATCAGATTCACGAAAGCAGCTGGACGGACAAACTTACATGATTGCGATGATCAAATGCTTTAGTAAAAACAGAGTCCTCCACTTTGCTCTGGACAATTACTTTTTTTTTTTTTTTTCAATGTTAATGGTGAAACCTTGCTCTTATCTTTATTAAATTTAATCAAAATTTCTTACAAAATCAGAAAAAATTTTATTGTATAAACCTAATGCTAAGAATAAGAACTCTTACTAACTAAAAATGCCTGATAGACAAGCCTAGTTTTTTATCTACAGCCTAAACCAACAGTATTACTGTATATAGCTATATTTAATAAATTTTATTAAAATTGGTTTATTTTTTTATTAATAATATCAAATATTATCAATACTATATATTATTACAATTTATTTATATACACGGTAAATCTGTCATTAACCAATCGTATTATATATATAGTATATATTTAAAAATCTCAATTATAAGGGTCAACAAATACATACTGTATGTTTTATTTATTATGTTGACCAAACACCCCAACGTACTGTATATACAGTATTTTAAGCTAAAACACGAAATATGAAATACATAAATTACACCAATAATAAAAAACTATAAAATATTATTAATAAGGTTATACGTTTCGTATTTAATGGAGTTTATTTGTTAACATTAATACTTAGTGCTTCAGAATAAAATTTGCGTCAGATCATTAGCATTAGGTTCGAGTGAAGTTTAAGCTAGGTTAGGAATAGTTGTATTAGTATTATTGTATATATTACTTTTAATGTGATGTAAATTTTTAAAGTTATATACATATATATATATATATGTATAATAATCATTATATATATACATATTATATATATAATATACGTATATATATATGTATATATATATTATATATATATATATTTATTTATATACTTATCGGTATGTACTGTACGTACATGGTACCAATGCAGTAACGTTTATCGTTATTCAAACTTAGATGACAAGGATTTGCGTTTAACGAAACCATCGTCCATGGTAACCAATAAAATTAATGTTAGTAACTGAAAAAAAAAAAAGAAAAAAAAAACTCGATGTTAAAATATGATAACCTTAAGACCTTTAGAAGGGGTTTTCATTTTTGAGAAGTTTTCTTGTGAAAAACGATATATAATCTGAGTACTTTAATTGCCATGATTCGTTTAACGTTAATACGATTGATATTATATAGGAATATTTAAGCCGATAATGTATGAACAGTACACATGATTGCAAAATTGCAAAGTCTCATTTTCTTTACAATGATCATTTCCTTTAATTTGCAATACGTCGCTATTATCCCATCGTCATACCCTTTAAAAACAACTTAGTGAATTTAAAGTTTTAATTCCAAGTTTCTGCAAATAAAAACCAAAAAAAAGTATTTTTCTGTTAAACAATAATTGTACCAATCTATCAAGTTAAATTTTTAACGAATGAAAAAAAAACATTTAGTCCGTTAAAAAAAAAAAAGAAACATTTGATAGATTTGATTTTTTAAGGTTATTATCTCCCTCTGTTTCCCCCGTTTTTAAAGTTATAATTGCTTTGAAAAACGGTGAATAAGAGGGAGTGATTTTTTTTTTTTTTTTTATTCATTGATGGTATATATATAGAAATAAATGCTGCATCTTTGCACAGTTTTCTATCAAATCACAACGCCCACATTGGAGAATCATGAGTTCTAGAGAAAATAACCAATCCGAACTAAATCTTTGACCAACATTGTATTTCCCAAAGCGTTAATTTTTTTTTTTTTTTTTTTAATTGATTGTTTTTAAATGAGAATCCCTCGTTTCTCCCATGTGATAAGTGCGTTATAATAGTTACAAAAGCATTTTTCCATATTGAAAAATCGATAATAGATATAAAGTATACATAATTAAAAGCAGGAATAAAAAAACAGTCCAGCAGAAAGTAAAATGATATAAAATACAAGATAATTGTCTCAACAAATATAATGAGGTATGAAAAAATAATACAAAGTGTTGAAATCTTAATATAAGCTGTTCTTTCTGCAAAGAAAAATTTTTTTCCACGTTATAAATTGAAATCGTTAAAAAAAAAAAATTCATTTTTTGTTCCCCCGACCCGCGGGAGCCGTATAAATCATTCGGAGCCCACGGGCAGGGAACAAATTGATCATTCCATCGGTTCTCTAAAAGTGGAAGCACAAATCAACCAATAAATACAAATGCAATTTTATATAACAAAAAATCCATGCGTGAAATGCTCGACCATGTTAGAAAACGTGTAAACTTGTAAATAAATTAACAAATGACACAACAGCAAATCGATTTTTCAACATAACCGTCGTCTTGATCCTTTTTCTTTTTATTTTTCTTATCCTTCTTTTGTTTCTTTTTGTTCGTTGAATTTTTGGTCAAAGTTCTTTCAAGTTTCAACGCAACAGGCGCAACATTGGATTGAACTGGATGGATCCTATCGTTCTGTGCCGTAAACGAATTCTTTAAAAACAAAAAAATAAAAATAAAAAATTAGTATAAAAAACTACAAGGAACAATTTCTTATTATAACATACATTAGTAATCACTTTCGACATCTCATTCTGCTCAACAGGCTCTTGTTTGGGAACAAGTGGTGCTGGCATAGTTGATGTCGGTAATTCGGAATGTGTTACTGGCTATTAAAAAAAAAAAATTGCAAAAGGAAAAGGCATTAAAAAAGGAACACAAGAGAATAATATATGGTCGGAAATAAATATGAAAAAACAATAATAATAATTGAGAAACGTTTTTATCAATAAAGAATTTACCTCAATATCAATATCATCCTCATTATATTTAGTTAAAAATACAAATTCTTCTCTTCGTGATTTTCTATCACGCTTTCTAAGATCATCATCAAAAGGAACATCCTCTAATGCAGGAGTAATAATTACATCGTCAGTTTGTATTTGAACATTACTATATGTTTTACTATTTCTTCGAGAATTTGGACGAGATTTCCTTGTTGGTCTTCTGGGCGCAGATTTTCGCCGACGCCGTTGATAACTTGCAACTGACGATCGTTTTTTCGTACTTTTTTGTAATTCATCCTCAAATTGATCATTTGCATCCTCAAAAAGATTCTCAACTTGATCAGTTACATCCATATAACCGGATTCTGGTCTTGGTTTAATTTTATCAGATTCATCAGGTTCATCACTAACTCCCAACAGAGCTTCATGGTTAGGATAAGGTAATTGTCCATTCATTTTAAGTTTTTTTGCTAAGGTAGGTATGATCATATCATCATGAGAAATTATGGTTTTTTTGGGAGGTTCATCATTTGTTGGTGATTCAGATTCAAGTTGTTCTTGTAATTCTAATGAATAAGCTGTGATGATCGGACGAGATTTTGACATTCTTGGAGCACGAGATTGTTGAATTTGTGCTTCCGTAGTTTCCATAGAGGTTGAATCTACTATTTGAGAATCATCCGATGGTTGTGGACTTAATAAATGAATACTTTCATTGATGACAGTTTCTGATATTAGCCCATTAAGTGGAGTCTGTGTAGTCACATTAGCAGTTTCTAGTATTGGTCCGTTATTAATTGGTGTATGCGCTGTCATTGGAGTCATAGGAGGGCCACTGCTAGGAGGAGTTTGAGCGATTATTGGAGTCATAGGAGGACTTCTGGGTGGAGTGGCAGGTGGAGTAGCTATACCATCGACAGAAAGATGACTCTTTGCTACAGTGTTGTTATCATCATCATCCTTATAATCATTTGTATTGATTTTTTTTTTACGATTATTTTTTAGTGTATTCTTCCTGTTAACGGATACGGTCATTTCAGTAGTACCATTTAAATCCTTATTTGAATAAGGAGTTTGAATAGTATTATCAGCGTCAACATCGACATTTTCCTTTTCACTACCACTTTCTTCAGATAATGGGCGTTTTTTTGTTGATTGACTGATCCGTATAGCTGAATCAAATGCTATAGTTGAGCTTGTTGTACTCGTATCTGGATTATTATTATCCATAAATGCGTCTTTTTCAATCTTACCAACAGTCACACGATCTTGTTTTTCAGTTTCAGGGCCAACAGAATTATTCCATGATTTTACTTTTGTTGTAGGAATATCAGTAGCATTTGATGATGAACTACTCGAATTATTGACATCTTTTAATGTCTTTAATTGAGAACCATGAAAACTATCACCAATATTTTTAGTAAATTGTTTGTTGAGTGTTGAAGGTGAAGTTCGTACATCAACACTAGAAGGTTTTTGTGGTGGTATATTAACGTTATTTATAGGATGTTCAGAAGCATTACCAGAGTATCGAGGGATTTTGTCACGTTTTCTGAAAGGCTCCGGTATATTTCGTTCATTTGAGTTAATACTTGGATTTATTGGAACAGATTCAATCGCTTGCTATGAATGTGTATAATCAAAAAGTAAATTATTATTAGCACGAAAATAAATAAGCTTGAGAAATTTTTTTTAATTCCTTTTAACTACAAGTTAAATATAATAAGAGATGTTTACTCACCGAATCTGTACCGTTGAACCGAATTTCGAAAGCAGGTGCAACTTTTCCCATTATCCTTTTAGACGACATCTGATATTATATAACATTAAGAAGACTTTTGTAAAAAGGGATTTCCCAAATATACTTCCTTCAGACCAGGGTACTTATGCGTTAAGTGACTTAAGGTAAAAAAAAAAAGGTAAATGTTTGATTTACGAAAATAAAAAGGGTTTTTCGTTTTAGTTTTTTTTTTTGTTTTTTTTTTTTTTTGTTGTATTTTATATTTTTTTTTCTTTCTTTTTTAAATTTTCTTTTCGAAAAAAAAAATGAGGCTATGATAGTGATAGCGGTTGTGGTTAAGGTCGAAGTGTTTGTTGATATATATGTATGTGTTACTGCCACTGATATTTAAGCAGTTTTCTTTTTAACGAGTATTACAAAAGTTGTTCGCTTTGTGAAATAACTGAAATAACTGAAGGCTTTTGATACCAGCAGCCCGCTGCAAATCTTAAATATATATATTTTTTTTTGTGAAGAAAAAAAAAAAGTATGGCAGTGAAAAGGAAAGTTATAAGGAAGAAAGAAAAAAAAAAAAGACAACACAGCTAAAAATTCGTAAAAAGGAAACAACACGAAGATAAAAAACGAACCAAACGAATCAAGGATTTATCACTAAATTACTAATAATCACAGGTTAAAAAAAAAATTTTTTCTTGCAAAAGATTCCTACGGTGTTACGGATTATCCGCTATATATTTTTAGTTTATCACATATGATAAAATTTGATATATTTGTGGCGAATAATTTAAATAATGAAAATAATGAAGAAATTGAATAACGAGCATGTAAGAATCAACAACTTACATAAGTCTTATCCACGGGTATTTCCGGCGCATATATATAATAATTTCGCGTCTTTTTTTATATATTACCAATATTATTAAGATTACAACAATAATAGCTGTGATTTGGTAAGTTTAACAAAAAAAAAAATCCCGCCAGAATCCACAAAGCATCTATGCGATATTACGTGTACCAAATTATTATTTAGGCCGAATGCTCGTCTAGTTGTACAGTTGTACAACAGTTAAGAAATGCAAAATGGGAATAGCATAATCAGGTAACATAATCCTCTTTGGAAATCTTTGAAGTATAAATCTGTGATAATGTGCCTAACATGCCTAATATACCTCTTAGTTACCAAAAGTAGCATTTATTCTTTATATACAATACATACTCTTGTACGTACACGAAGTCAAAATGCTTACCTGCAGGGCTTAAAAAGTCTTCTATTCGTTCACGTGGTACCAAAGAGAATAGCTCTATTTTTATCCTAACCATTAAAGAAAGGTTAATTAGCCTCATCGCTAAATGCATTTATATTGAGCCCCCCGAATTCTGTGCCAAAGATTATTTATTATTAATGCTAGGTAAGTTTATTCGTTGATTAATTAAAAGGTTTAATGAAGAAAATCGAAGATCATAAATAATTATATTGACTAAAAAAGGAGATAGTGAGGTTCTTAAAGAAGTATAGATCCAATAAGTACTTCTTCATGGGAAAAAAAAATAATCATAATTGGCTTTTCATTAGCCCTTTCCCTCCTTTTTTTTTTGAATAAGAAAATGGCAATACTTTATTATTTGGACTTTTTCGTGAAACTTTTTTATGCAGAATACATACGTATGTACGTGATGTACGTGATAACGGTAATACCTTTTTAAAATCAGATGACTAGAAGAAAATCTGAATTATCAATTGGATTACCAATCCGAGATAACCATTTATAGGAGAAAAGGAGTTTATCGTATTAAAATTGCAGATGGTGCATAAAAGGTCTATGAAAAATGAGTTGAAAAATGACGGGCAAAATAACCGCCCGATATTACAGTATTAGGAGTGTATTAGGAGTGTATTAGGCGTAAGTCTTTATCTTCCTATGTGTTTGTTTCATATATAGTGGCGAAGTTTCAAAGTTATTGAATGTTATTGAATGTTATTGAATTTTATTACAGTTTTACGCCTTTTTTCTAACTACGAATTTTTTTAAACGTTGAACGTTACTACGCCTCTTAGATTATTTATCCCATTGTTTTACCATTTTGGTGTCTACCTTTTTTAGCGTTAAATTTTAACACCAATAAAAAATCTTAAATTTTTACGGAGCGGGGTACGCTTTTTGAGCTTGTATGCGTTGATCGGGTTATCACAACACTATCACAACTTTATCACAATAGTTTCAACACCAAACAAAAGATAAACTCTATATAAATACCCTAACTGAAAACACTTTAAAACAGATTTTCCCATGTTTATGTGTGTGTTAAAAGTGAATATTGATTGTAACTTCATGAATCGAGAAAAAAAACAAATGATCCAATCATTATTCTTTTTACAAATCTTTACTATTTTCACTAACATTTATGGTTTGTTATTTTCGCCTTTTGTGCCGCGTTGTACCTGTCAAAACATTTATAAAGATACATTTTAAAATTTTTCATTGGTCACACATATATGTACTACCTAGAAGTTCCGCCCCAAGCTAAGCGATAAGTTTTTAACATATACATTAAATACGTTAATATGGTAATTCCGAAATATCTATAATGATAGAATATAAAATGGATAAAAATGACACGCGATCAAGTTAATCAAGGATTGGTTAGATCTGTATAATATACGTTATAAATCCCTTTGTTTTCTATTTTCTGATCTTACCTTTTTACTATATACCTGATATTATATCATCAGATATTTAATTCTTTGATTATTCATTATTAATCTACGTAAAGTCTTGCAGATACTACATCAAATGACGCTTTAATCGAGATTAACTACGCTTTTGTTGTACTTGTGTAAATTTGATATAATATGCAATAAAATAAATGCATTAAAATTAAGAATATTAAGAATAAGGTAAGTGTAAAAGTATTATCAAAAATTTAAATTTAAAAAGAATAACAATGAGGAAAAAATTTACCTTATACTGAATTAGAAATGCAAAAAAGAAACTTTCTTCGTTTCCAATTTCCTTGTGCTAAATAGCATAAATGCGGGGTGATTGGGTCAATTTATCATAATATTTTATGCAGTATTGTTTGTACTGTACTGTAAGCCAGATAAAGAATATTTGCTATAACATACAAAGGCTTAGCGTTATATTTTGTAAACAATGGATAAAAGTATAATGTTGTGATAAATTTAAATATATATACTATATATATTGTTATTAATATAGGGAAAAGCGTGAAATTGAATTCTATTTCAAGTGAACGTTAACTGGTGCCTTTTTAAAATTAATTCTCAAAATCGGCAAAATTTTAGCGTTATAACGTTATAACTGATAATCTACGCACTTACGTACGTATAAAAATATGATATTATCTAATATAACAGATAAATCATCCATATCAGCATATTGTATAGATATCTTTACTGAAACTTGTAAAATAGCAATTTGCAATTAACTACGTATAAAGTAACTATATAATTACTTGGTATATAGTAGCAATTTCTTTATATTATGTTAGCAACTGTTAATTTTTATTACCACATATCAGATATATAATATTACTATATATTTACTATATATTAGCAATGCGTCTACGTACTACTTAATTTTATTAATTTTACAAATTTTAGTAAAGATATTTTAATATTGCTTTCAACTTTTTTGAAACAGTTTGATTATTTTATTCTTTATTGACCGATTCTTGAAATGTTTCCCTTTTTTTTTTTTACATTTTTCATTTTAAATATTTTAAATCTTAAACGCTTTGATTATTTATTGCCTGATTCTTGAAATGCTTCCTTTTTTTTGTTACATCTTTGCATTTTCAATCTTAAACTCATTTTCAGGGTCAGTATGAGCAATAGCAACGAATTTAGTGTGTCTACCTTGAGCTACTAATTTTCCATCATTTTTATTATGCATTTCTACAACGGTAAATGCAAGTGTTTTACCAAGCTTTACACATTCTGCGTTCTGAGAATAATATTAAAGAATTAAAGAATGATAATAAATAAACAATATATTAAAAATAAATTATTAATTAATCTGTTACACGAGGAATTTTCTCAGGAAGAAAAAAAATTCTTACCACAAGTAAAGTATCTCCTTTTCCCACCGATCCGATATATGAAACATTTATATCCGTACTAACTCCTGTAAGGTGCATTCCCTTAGATGCTACAGCTAGTGATCCACAAACATCAACTAAAGATGCTATCATTCCTCCGTGAGCTGTTTTTAGACGATTCTATTGCATTTAATTGTTATTTATTATTTGTTTCCATTTATTTGAACTTTAAAACTTTATAATAAAAGCCTCATATACCATGTGATGTGCTTGAATAAGTATTTCAGCGCTGACCTTACCATCCGTTGCATTTGTTATTGCCATCTATGAATTTTTCAAAAAAAATTAAAAAAATATTAATTGTACAATTTTAATTAACTCATTCATTCTTATTAATAATATATATCAAGTTAGATCGAAAAAATACTAAACATCTTTCATAAGTAATCCATCAAATCCACCATCAAGCATTCGTTGAAATATTTTGCGAACCCAATTCGTCTTACTAACACCTGCTGATGCCATAATCAAAGGAAAAAGATTTGTAAATATTTAAAATAGAACAGATTTGTGAAATGTTGCCTTTTATCGTATTACAGCAAAAATCGAAAATATATATAGAAAGGATAGTTGTTATAAGTCACATGATGCATAAATTTCTTCATGTTTGTAGTACTAGAAGTAATCTATAAAGTTAAACTAATTACAATGCTGCAATATCGTGCAAAATTCCATCTATTTTGTATTCTATATTAAATTCTCATTTTGAAAAAAAAAAAAAATACAAATAATTTGGCTATCTTATAAAACAGGTTATATATATATTACATATTACGTATATGCCTAATGTATACCAAATACTTCTCGCACGCGATACGTATAAAATATAAAACTATACGTAGAATATAATTAATCATTAATTAGCTTAAATGTCAAAATATTACGTAATATCATCTACCCTAAAGTGTTAATGTGTTCAGTATAGTATTCTTGCTTTCTTCCGAATCTGGATGCTCTGAAAATCATTGTTCTGACTCTGCATAAATTTCGAAGTCACTGTATTCAGGTTTATCGCATATTTTTGAACTACATTTTTCTTCTGAATATTGTCGAGCTCTTTTCTTTCGAGCTTTCAATAGGACAATAAGTTTTTAAATTACTTTCATCCAATTTCTCAATTTCAATATCTTCCTCACAGCAGTGTTCTTTGCATATCGGATGTATCTGTTTGTGTGAACCTTTTAAGCCATTCTTACTTTCCATTGTCACCTTATTTTCATTTGCACAAAGCTCCTCTAATTCATTTATATCCATAACATCATCTAGTCCTTTAGATTTCAATACTATGTAAACAACGTGAGGCATTTGTTTTATCAATTCTTTAAGAGCCATTTCTGCTACTAGTTCCTTTGCCAAGATACATGTTCCTTTAAAACCACCAAAAGATCTTTTTAAAATTGGTACACGTAGTAAAGCAACATATCTAGAATTTTTTAATGATGATCTTAACGCGTATTTCGCATTAAGATGTTTCATGATCGCATCAAAAATACTAAAGAGGAAGAGTTCAGGTATTAATTCTTGTGAAGAATGGACTGATTTGGAAGTTTCTGATTCTGGTAATAATACCATCTCATTTGAGCTTTTTTGCGATAAATCTGGACTATCGTGTCCGTAATGTTGCTGAATGCTTGTGAATGCATGTGGATGTTGTCCAAGCCACGATATATGTGATGAGCCTAAAAAAGGTGCTTGCAGATGATTCCGTCGTCTCCCTGTGGCTCTCTGTTCGTATTGTGGTTCATTGTTTCGTACTGGTACCGATCGTGACGAATTAGTGATTGTTCTTGTCCAATATTCATCATTTCTATTATTAATAAAAAAAGATACCATTTTTTGATATTTTTTAAAAGGTTAGAGATTACACGAAAACCGATTGAATAAAAACCTTAAACAATCCCTTGGATTTCCTTCTGAATGCATAACGGGCAAAGATGATGTGTATAAAGACCTTCCATTACCATTATTATGTTGAATAAACCCCGGAATATTTACTTCACGTGACTCGGAAAAATCTTTGTCACTTTGCCGTAATTGCACAGACGTAAACGGTGCGTCAAGATCAATATAGTTGGTAAAAGAATCGCCACCGTTAACATTATTATTATGATTCGCAGCGAAAGAATATCGTGAAGTAGAACGACGTGAAGTTCTTGACGCGGAATACATAGTAGCAGAAGAAGAATTTCAAAATAAATATTATCAGTTAAATTATCACGATCTTCAGGTCTAGCTGTTTCTGTCGTATTTTCGTTATCTTCAGCAGGAGAAATTTATAGTTACGAAGTTATAAAGAAGGTGAAAGTGGGAATGAAGTAGGTAAAATTCTGGTGTCACGTATTCTTACGGAAAATGACGATCTTGGTAATAAAAAATTTTGGAGGTGCCATTTTATCCCAATTTATATACTGTATCAAAATTTTATCAATAACCAGTAAATTTTCATGTTCAGAAAAGGTTAACAAAGTCTAATTCAAAGTTATTAAAAAAATAGATTTTATTACGATCTCGAACTTAACACGAAACTAACAGGTGAATAATACAATTAGAAATGTGAAGTTCTTTACAAGTCGAAAAGATTAATTCCACTCATATACGTATATACTTTATTATTTTACCAAATGTACGAAATGTACGATATACCTGGTATATACTGTATAGTGATTACAGTTATTTACCGGTATTTTATTTATATATCTGATATATTTATTTATTAAATTTATTTATTTACAGTATTGTTATATTAGGTATTGCTATTATTAAATAATCAATGTGTTGTACGTACCGGTAATTGTAATACCTCTCAAGTACGTACATACGTACGTACGTACGTATGTACGTACATGATATTAATAATGCGTCATTTGTTATTTATTATGTATATATTTACATAACAATCAATTGCAGTTCAGAAGTTCTCCACGTAACATTCCAGGTTCTAGAAAATCTGTCATTGAAGTTCAAATAACAATATCCGTAGAATGGATGCATTTATATAGTTTTGCAGTATCAGGACAGTTGTTTTTTAGCATTTGGTGCTAGATATGCAGTGTTGTCACATAGTCCAATGATCCAATAGTTTTGATTGGATATTGGATTGGATATTGGACGTCCAAAATTCAATAATTTGGATGCCCAAAGTTCAATTGATTGGACCCTAAAATCATAATCGAATATTGAATTGGACATTCAATCCAAAGGTCCGATTTTGTCTAATGCGCATCGCTATATATATGGAACCCATAGCAAAAGAAGGTAGTGGGGATAACCAATTAGATTTCGAGGTTTTATAAGAATTATCAGTTAAGAAATAGTGATTTTTTATAATAATATTATAATAAAAATATATAAAATTATTATAAATTTTAAGTTCCAGATTATCTCCAACCTGCATATTAATTTCAATTTTAGAATTAAGTATATCGAAAATTAAAATTTTATAAAAATTGCAATCAAATTTTATAAAAAAAATTTTTAATTTGAAAACATATTATTAAAACATATTATTTATGGATTATTTTAGTAAAAAAAAATAAACTTGCTATATGCTAAAGTTAAAATTTTTAGTATATTGTAATATAGAAAACTTGATCTGATTAATTATATTACTTGATTTAATATGAAAAGAGTAAAAAAAAATGTATACAAAAGATAAAACTCAAAAAAAAACTAAACTCAAAAAAAAATAAATATATTAGTTTGTATAACTTTATATATGAGGGTGCTAGTAGAAACCAAGCAAATTGTTTCTAATAAATTTTTTTAAAACTTTAAAATAAAATATCTTAACAACTATTAAACCAAACTTAATAAAAGTTTTTATTTTAATTCTATATAGTTATAAAATTAAAATAAAATTTAAATTTTCAAAAAACTTATTAAAAACAATTTGCTTGGTTTTAGGGTTCCTAGGTTCAGTTCAGTTCAAATTTAGGTTCAATGAACCTGAACTGAACCTGAACCTGAACCACAAATTT